TCTCTCTCTCTCTCTCTCTCTCTCTCTCTCTCTCTCTCTCTCTCTCTCTCTCTCTCTCTCTCTCCTCTCCCTCCTTCCTCCTCTTTCTCATCTTCTTCTTCGAATCTGAGAGTGTGAGAGGTTATCAGTAGGGATTCCGACAGAGGTTATGCTGGGCGCATTGCCCAGGATCTGATTCGACATTTCTGGGGCAGACATTGATTGGACACTCGGCAAGGGACTATTTTTTTGGGACTTCGTTATTGTGATCTTGGTCTATTCCCTCGCCTCCTTCCTCCTCGTCTCGTCCCTCACCCATCTCTCATCCGTGGTATCTCGCCATTTATGTGTGTGAGGAAGGGATCTTTCTTCCATGATTGCGGTCCCTTCTCTCTCTCTCATGTGTGATGTGTGATGGATGTCGGGTCAGTGCAGATCAGATCAAATCTTCTCTTTAAATCTTCCGCTGTGCCATTTTGTGCCATCTTGTATGTATCCGGAATGCACATTGCTTGTTGATGCTGTGCTGACCTCGCATTGTCCATTTCTGTCTTTTCATCACATAGCGGATCCTTGGCTCCCTGCGCATTGTCCCACTAGACATGCGTCAGTTTTGGTATCGGAGCTCCACTTGTGAATCAGGACAATCTGATCTAACACAAGCGTGGGGATAACCCACGAATTTTGTGCGGGCAGCAGATACCGCGGAGGACCGATTGGGTATTAATTGATTGATTGATTGATTGATTAATCGTTGATTGATTGATTGATTGATCGTTTATCGATTGATTAGGTTACACTAATTAGTCCCCAAATCGCGAATTTTGACCTAACTGCTGAAATCAAATTTTTTTTTTTCTTTTTCAGATTTCATTTTCCCGCTACTTTGTTGAGGGAAATGGCAATAGTGCAGCACCAGAAATTTTCGATTTTCGAAATTTCGTGGCAGAGAGATCCGGGATTTTTTTTATTTTTTTTTCAAAAGTTTCGATTGTATTCCTTCATGAAATTCCCGTTACTTTTAAAATTCGTTTGTCAATTTCGAATTTTTTTTTTAATTCGTTTTTCAAATCCGAATTTTTTTTCTGAAAAATCGTTTTTCAATTCCGAAAATCTTTCTGAAATTCGTTTTTCCATTCCGATTTTTTTTTCTGAAATTCGTTTTTCAATTCCGGAAATTTTTCTGAAATTCGATTTTCAATTTCGAATTTTTTCTGAAATTCTTTTTTTTTTCAATTTCGATTTTTTTCTGAAAGTTGTTTTTCAATCCCAATTTTTTTTTCGAAATTCATTTTCAATTCGGAAATTGTCTTTTTCGGGAAACTCCTCTTACAAACGTTCGTTTTCAAACTGCGCATACTCTCCCTTAACATATGCCGAATTTTTTTCTACCTCGGAATTTTCTGGACTTGCGGACATCGTTATTTTTGTCCGTTTTCGCAGTTCTGCTATTCCCATCATCTCCATTTATTCTTTGGATTCATTCGTTGTCTGAAATTCCAATTTTTTTTACTGCTGAGGGGAGACTTGGGGAGGGCCTACCGAGCTTGCAAATTCGAATTTTTTTTCTTTTTCTCGAAATTGCTGCAACTTCCCAATTTTTTTTATTAGTGGCTCCTTATCTGGGTGACCCACTCGATTGCCCACTCCCCTTCTCTCCACCCCCACTCTTCATCCCCTCTCCGTCCTTCTTAACTACCCATTCCCTGTCAGTTGCAGACCAGGTAAGTCCTCACGTCAACAAGCCACGTCAGGCACCCTCAATCCATGGCCATACTTACTCGCTCAAATACAGCCGAGATGGATCAGAAGGCATGCGAGACTGTCGAGGCCTATGAGGCACGGCTGGCGGCCATCAGGGCCGAAACCAAGCAGTGGGCAGACGCAGCGGCAGCAGCACGGAAGAAGCGGGAAGCAGAGGCAGATAGACTGCATCAGCTGGCCGAAGAACAGCGACAGAAGTACGTGGCAGCAGCAGCCAAGGCCGCTGATGAAGAACGTGTGCAGCCACGCGAAGTCATATTCAGAGAGGAAGGTGCATTACATGCACAGACCAAGGACTGGCAAAGGGAGGCCGAGAGCGGCGAATCCGTCGACTACGGGAGCAGGGTATCTCATCTGCTCAACCGTGTCACGGACCTCCTTGCGACTTGTATCGCGCAGCAGGAGGACATCCACTCCCTCGACCACACCAACAAGGTGTTACAGCAGTCGGTGGACCAGATGCTCAAGAGCATATAGCAGCTGGAGTAGCAGGTCGGCACCACCAACACTAGCTTCGGCCCCTCCAATCTCGTGGACCTCGTCAATGTCTTGGAGATAGACGTGGGAACACTGAAGACTGGGGCACAGTAGCTGCAACAACAGGTTTCTGCAGGGGCCGGCCCTAGTGCAACGACATGTGAAACTATTGCCAAGTTCGATGGGCTCCTGATCTCATGCGACGCATCGAAGACCGACCCCCATCCAATCGTGGCGCCAGTTTGAGCTCAAGCTGGACATCCACCACGTCATCGACGCGAACTGGCATGCATATTTGTACTCCCTCTCGGGAGGCGCGAGTCAGGCATGGTTGGACAACATGTTGTCCGCACATGCATGTGCAGTCACCGAATTACACAAGTACATCACCTGGGAGCAGTGCCGGACCCGTGAACGTCACCGACCGTGCATTTGGTGTTTTTTTTGTGAACGGCCGTTCACGGTGAACGGGCCGACCACTAAAGAACGGTGTTTTTTTTTTTTTTTTTTTTTTTTNTGAGTGAGGCTACTACTTGGTCTGAGTTTCAGTTTGACAGGTAGTTGCTTTAGAGGCTCGCCACGTGCTAGAGCGATAGGAGTTAGCTTCAGTTTTTGCATTTTCTGAGCTAAGTTTATTTTACTTAGATCGATTCTCGCATTTTCATGGATCTTTTGTTATACTTGGCCTGTCTCTTATACACATCTAGATTTTTTTTTGGGCTCCCCCAGGTACATTCGCCTCAAGCCCCACAGCATGGTGACATTGAAAAAAAAAAAAAAAATCGAAATGACCTACAAAATACCAAAAGAAAATGCTTATTTTGGCTGGTTGATTTTTTTTTTTTCGTTTTTAATTACAAAAAAAAATTGAAAGTTATAAGGAGTTACCCTTCGATGTCCCCCACCCTCCTATAAAAAGAAAACATAGCCCCCCAGCCAGGAAAAAAAAAAAAAAAAAATACCGCTCTCGGTGAACTCCATGAACTCCCGTGTCGTGAACTCCGTGAACTCTATGACCAGCTCCGTTCACAGACCCCGTGAATGGTGAACGGGGGTACGGCACTGCCTGGGAGGACCTCACGACGGCATGGTAGAAGCGT